AATATTTCTTTGGAAAATCTGAGAGAAAAAAAAAATCTCCTGTCTGTCTAACAAATTCTTTTTAATAACACAGAATAAAAATGCAGAGACCACTCTTAAGTTGCAAGACCTTTGATTTTGCAACCAGCTATTTTTCATCTTGAACTATTATTTAACTAAATCATAAATATCACAGTGATAACACATTAGTCAGCATTCACAGCCAATTTCAAGTTCACAGATATACTGCTAGACAAGAAGTTTTCTTCCTTCCAAAGGGAGAAGGAAAAAAGGCTTTTTGAAACCAAAGCTCATCCTAGAAATGCTTTAGAAATTGAACTAATTAAATTTAAAAATTAATCCTCCATGTAATTATCAGATGACCATAGTTTTTCAGATATTTAAAAATAATTCACCCAAACCTAAAATGTTTATCTACAAGGAATATTAAATAAAAAGCTGATTAATATGTAATATAGTGCCTTCTAGGAAACAGAAAAAAGTACTCAGATATGCAAAAATGTGTTGTACTTTCTGTGTTTGGATGACAACACCAAGTGATAGTCTTTCCTGATAATAGTGCATTGCCCTGTACCAAAAAAGGTTCTTCACAGTTTCAGATTGTGCAATACTTCAGTGTAGTGTGTTAATACAACTCCCTTTCTAGTTAGTAAAATGTGAAACACACATTTTTTTAAGGTTGTATACTTTTAGAGTACTTATTAGTGAAAGCAACAGTTTTATTGAAGATAGCCCAACAGGATGAGTGCTATCCTTATTTTTTTCCCAGACTAAGGCAATTTTTTTTGGTAAATTCCACAAAAACACATGAAAAGAAAACTTCTTCCTTGTTCATTTATTGGACTGCCCATTATAGTGCTTGGCATAAAGTTCCCACCTTGTGGATGTGTGCTAGGAAGCAGCAGCTGCAGTACTGTAGTCCAGTTTTTTGTCAGCAAGGTTTCGTTTTGGCACTGCCTCCTTTCTGGCAATCTCAACTCAAGTGAGAAACTCTTTTTGCAATGGTCTCCTTGACATTGTAAGGAATGTATTACCTCTGCATTTGGCATCCCACCTCACAGCCTGCCGTTGTCTTTCTAAATGAAGTGTCTGAAACCATAGGCTCCCTGTGGAGGCACTGCCAGCCCTTTCTTTGCAGACTATTGTTTACTGTGCATGAACAAGCTGAAATGGAGCTCTTACAAAGAATTTCTCATTCTTTTATTTCTGAGGTGAATTAATGGGAAGCAGATTTTGATTAGCAGTTAAAGAGAGGTCCATCAGATACCTTCTTCTCAAAGTCAGAGGTTCTTGCTTGCATCACATGCTAATGTTCCCCAAATTGTCCCAATGTTATATTAGAGCAAAGCACAGTCAGTTCTCAGTTTTATATCATCATAGTTATAAATGCAGTGTTAGTATAGTCAGTCAGTGTCTTCAGACACACTGAAATTATTCTGCAGACCCTCTATATTAATTTCCAAATTCCTAATATTTAGCAGCAGGGAAGCATCCAGGAATTTTTAGTATCAGGATATCTAAAAGTTCAATTCAAATATACTCTGCATTTTGGCTGAGAGTTATTGAGCTACAGACATCTTGGTGTAAGTAGATATATTTTTTTTCTGAAATTAATATAATGTCATAACTAATTTAAATATGATTGGGAACATCATAGAAAGCTGAGGATGCAATAATTCCCATTTACCCATTTTTTGAAATTCTGTGGTACTCAAGCAGGCATGACCTCTTGTTATTTCACCATGTCTGTTAACTTTCTTTCATGCAGTGGACCATTACTGCTCAGAAATTAATTATCATAAATCCATGGAAGTTCATAACATTAGGATTAAGACAGCTGTAATCAAGAGAATGTTCCTGAAAGCCATAAGTTGATATACTTAGAAGAAATATCAACAAAGTACTATTAACTGATTTAAAATATTATTTCTTATTCCAAAAATTAACTGGAATAATTTGCCCACTAAAATAAAGAAACAGTAGATTTTTCCAAATCAAAATTATTTATGGAGAACAATGAAATGTAAAATAAAAAATCATCTATTTGCTGAAAGCAGAGAGAATTTCCCAAATGAAAATGAGATATAGACATCAAGTTTGTGTTTAAATCTTTATTTTTTGTCTCAGAAAGAAACGTGCCAAAACGATAAAACAGTTTTAGTTCAATCTGGAACTCAATTGTATATGATAAACCAAGGCTCACATGACTTTGTCAGGGGTTAAATTTAAAGCTACATAGTTTCATTGAAGTCTGAATTGGAGAAAAGTTATTTTCTTTTACTAACCCCGAATTAGAGGATTGTTTTCAGGCTGAATATATTTCTGAAGAACCAGAGTAGAGAAAAATTGCCATCTGATTAACTACAGTGAACACAACTGGAACACTTGCAGAAACCTTTTATATGCCAGGCAACTCTTGTGACTATAAAGACTTAAATTAAAAAATATATATATGTTTAAAAATTTATAAGGAAAATCAAAGGTTGCAGGAGAAATTTTAGATGTGTTTTCAAACGGCCCAACAAGGCAAAAATAGCTATTTAGACTAGCCATAATCATTTATATTATGAGAATTATTTGTCTGGTAGAAAACACTGGGAATGAACAGAGTTCCAGCAGAAGGACAGAACCTGACTCAGGAACAGTTTGAGATTCACAACACAGCTGCAATTGTGATGATTGGTGAGCATCAGAACATAATTTCAGTACAAAAAGTTTTACCTTGTAGTCTTACAAGAAGACTGTAAAGACTTCGCTCCTCTGATAACCAAAAATCTTCCAAATGCCATCTAAAACTGTTAATTTCTAATGTGCTGTATGTCATGGCGGTATTCAGTCATGGAGTCTTTTCTCTCCTAATTTGGTAAGGAAGATGAGTCAAACTCATTGTATCTTGTTTCATAAGATGACATCTTTATTCCCCATACGCTCCTTTTGGCTTTTTCCTCCATTCATTCCAGCTTGTTCTTTCTGAACAAGCCTGAGCACAGGTACAGATAGTATTTTGGATGGAATTTCTGGACTGGCTTGAACAATGGCACTGAATTGCCAATTTCCTTCTGAAAATGTTTTGCTGTGTGTATTCTAGTAGTCTTGCTATACCAAAGAAAGTTCTCTTTTCGTCAGCTTTTCGAGTATTTCCTCCTAATGAGTTCCTAGTTTACAGAAGGATTTATTAAATACCGCATAAATGGCTTTGCATCTCAAACTGTGAACTTTCTCAATCCCCATTAATCCTCAATGTCATCCAGACTCAATTTGTCATTTTACTAAGAGTAGTGCTTAATATTATCTTATTAGCAGGTGTCTAGATTGGGTAGAACAGCAATTCAGGGAAGTCCTTAATATTATACAAAAAATTAACCCTTGATCTCTGTGCAAATCATTCTGTTAATCACCTTGTTATACTCCACCCCTCATACACTCTTTCATTAGCCTATATTTTATAATTCTACCTGTAATTTTTTTAACATAAATAAGTAGCACACGTTTTACTTAAGTTATATGATTAAAAAGCCACAGACAAACAGTAGAGACAAACATAACAAAGCATGCTGAGAATCACTTCAGGAAACATAACATTTCCTTCAAAATGGTTCAAGAAATGCCTAGAATATTTTCCTGTTATATATACAAATTTGGGTTTTTTTTTTTCTTTCTATTTCAAGTCCTTAAAATTATTGAAAACCATTTGATCTGTGAATATTTCTAGAGCATCTAATCAGATTTAATGCTCCAGCCTCACAGGCTTACCTTTGCTTTGGAGAATTGTACCCTGTCTAAATAAAAACTTCATCAGACATATGAACAGTTGTTACATGGCTTCGTGCAACTTTTTTCAAACCCAGCTATTAATAGTGAAGGACATTATTTTTGTTTTTCCAGTGAAATGTCAGAATTTTGAGCAGAACATATATAGGTTTTCTTGGAAAAAGCTACTTGAAAAGGAAAAGAAGCTTCTGTCAGGAAAAAATTGCTAATAGAAAATGTTCAACTTCTGTTGCCTGAGTCCTTTTGAATGCCCCAATCTCAGCTGGTCAAGAAGTGAATACCATAAAAGCTTTTTCAGCTATGTTAACAGCAGCCTGGCATCAAACTGCCTTTCTCTAAATCCACACAACTTTCCTGGCAGTCCATGTTACAACTTCTGCAGAGGGCTCCCATGTAATTACACCACAAGTGCATTAAATGAATATGCCTCTCCTTTGGTTAAGCACTAGTTCAGCTCTCTTTGGAGCAGTATACCTGGTGTGGGGTCTGCAAATCAAGGAATATGCTGAAAATTTGAGGGAATTCAGAGAAAAACCATGAGACTGACTAGAGCTGAAAAACAAATATAGAACTGACTTGCAATAATAAACACACTGAGAGTGTGTTTATTTTGTTGAAGAGAAGGTTAAAGGGCTGCCCAGCTGCAACCTCAAAGTGGATCCCACACAGCAGGAAAAATATCATAGAGGTAATTTTGAAACAGCAAGCAAAACTATGGGAAGACCCAATGATGGGAAGCTGACATCATGCAAAAGCTACACTACAAGCAAGATTCCAGTCTTGATTATGAACATGTGAGGAAGACATGCAATAGTTTCTTTATGATTTCAAAACAAGATTTGATCTTTAAAAAAAAAATCATGGTCTATTTAAACATAACTATTGTATTTGAAATAGAAGATAATTCCAGAATATAATGGTTTATGCAGTGAAACTGAGGAGATGGCTACATTGGTCCCATCTGTCCTCAAAATACCTGATTTACTGAATGCATTTTCTCTGACATTACACTGTACAGTCATAATGCAGTTATTTCAGTCTGATTTTTTTTTCTTCTGTCTTCTGTTATGTCTTGTTTGCCTTGCTGGCTTTGCATTTTTTTTATTTCTTTTTTGTTGCATTTATTTACTTATTTGTTTTTTGTGTGTTTGTGGTTTTTTATTGGCTGGTTGTCTGTTTTGTGTTGTTTTCGTTTGGTTTGGTTTGTTTCTTTCTTTCTTTTGCTCCAGGAATTGGCCAAGGGGTTCCTGTGGTGGCCCTTATTGTGGAAGGAGGTCCCAATGTCATCTCCATTGTTCTGGAGTACCTGCGAGACACTCCCCCTGTTCCTGTTGTGATATGTGATGGCAGTGGCCGAGCATCTGACATCCTTGCCTTTGGCCACAAATATTCTGAGGAAGGAGGGTAAGTCATTTCATGACATATGTTCTTTCTCTATCCACAGGTTCAATTCCATGGTAAAGCGGAGCACAGGAAATTATTATCAATATTGCACAGAAGCAACACCTACCTCACATGGCCATTTCCATCTTTGATATGGGTGAAATGCTGAAGGTATTCAGAACATAACAAAATAAGCCTTAAAACAAGCCTCATCTCTGAGTCTGCTCTGCTTCAGGCTGGAGAGTCCCAGCTCCCTCAACCTTTCCTCATGTATGAGGTGATCCAGTCCCTTCATCATCTTAGTGGCCCTGCTCAGACAGGAACAGCTACTCCAGCCCTGGAGAAAGCTACTCTGCAGTATGTCACCACCATAGAGGAGATTGTTTATGATGGAAAAAATTAATCTGAGGACCCCTTCTTTCCACCCTCTTGCAGAAGTTTGGCTGTGCTCTTGGTCTGTTTCTTGAATAGGTCTTTCTCAGGCACCAGTTAACAAGGACTTGGCCCTGCCTCATTAGGGGTCAGTTTCAAATAAGGCTACAGGCATCCTAGATCACTAGATCAGCAGAGTAGCAGCATTTCCACTAGAAAATGCTGAAACTTTCTTGGTCCACAGCCTTGTGGCTGCCCTAACCTGTTCCTTACCTGACAGCCACAAGCACCCTCAGAGGGTTTCCAGGTGCTCAGCAATGATCATGGGCTTTTCCTCTCAGAAGTTCCCAAATCATAACTCAGTCTGATGCCCAGACTAGAAAATAACAAATAAAGAGAAGATTTAACAATTTAAAAATATAAATCTGTAAACATTGAGCTCTAGACCAAGCAGTATTACGTCTTTTAGAACTAAATGTGATCATGAACTCACTCAACCTAAAACTCCTACTGGGAAGGAGATCGTTTTCCACAAATGCTTAAATCCATTTTATATTCAGGTTCATGCTTAGTACTGCATTGCATCTGTGATACATAAGAATGTGGCAGGTTTCACTGAATCTTTGAGAAGTTGTTTCTCTGTTTTCAGTGACCTCACTGATAACACTTCACATAACCTTATTCAAATATGCTTTATCCTTGTATTTATTATGTACATCTACCTTGTCTGTGTTCTGATGTCACCATAAAAAATACAGGAGGAGACTTTAATTAAAGTATTTAAATGTAAATAAATGTGGCTTGTATGAAAGGCTTTTTACAAGGACCTGTAGTGACAAGACAAAGGACAATGATTTTAAACTGAAAGAGGGTAGCTTTAGACTGGATATAAGTAAGATATTCTTCACTGTGAGTGTGTTGAGGGACTGGCACAGACTGCTGAGAGAATTCCAGCCTTGGAATTGTTCCTGGCCATATTGGATGGAGCTCTGAGGAACTTGGTTCAGTGAAATGTGCTCCTGCCCGCGGCAGGGACATTGAAATTGGATGATCCTTAAAGATCCCCTCCAACCCAGACCATTCTATGATTCCGTGAATTTATGGTGCTGTGGTTCTATTTCATCATCACAAACTCCTGCCTGTAGAAAAGGCAAGTTATAGTATCAGTAGAGGCAGAACATGCAATTTCTTACCTGAAACTCTCACATCTGGCTTTGTGAAAGGTATTATTCTGTCTTGCTATGGGTCTTGTTAATGTGGGGATGTCGGGGTCCCATTCCAGATTGTTTCCTGCATTATTGACCAACAAAATTACTCATTTTTTTCTGTTCACTTTGCACTAAATAGAATGCACAAACTATGAAATTTGCCAAACTAGCCAGTGGAAATTTCTATGTGTTCATCCTGGTTCAGAAAACATCCGTCTGGCATGTAGTGATATTTTCAATAATACTAGAAGTAAAACATGAATACTATTATATTCATTAATAGATTAAATGCATTAGACTTCAGCTATAAATTGGATCCATTTCCCCCATCTCTAACCTATGTTTGAGTAGTGCTTAGCACTATGAGGAGAATATCAAATAATTGCCATGTTAACTGAATTCAGCTAACAATTTTTCTTTTGGATACAATCTAAGTAGGTTATACAAAACTGTGTTTATTAAACTCTAAATCAAGGTAGTACATCTAAGTTGCATGCAAAGTTTAATTCTGCAGTCACTGTGTAATCAGACTATCAAATCAAAAGCCTGTTTTAATTCTGGCCACCTGTCAGAAGCAAGGTGTTCTCTGAGACACAGCATATCTTCCAGCTGCTATGGACTGGGTATCTAATTTAAATAATTCAAAACTTGGATCAGTAATGGCAGAAACAAACTCACTTGCATGTTTATGTTATTATGCTTATTTTGCACAATCTTAAATTTTAACTCACAGCAGCCCAACAAAGATTAATTTTCTACACATAAAAATGTGTGTGTGTGTCTACTAAGCACTGCTGTGAGTTCTGTGAGCTTTTAAATTAATTTGAAAGTTTGTTTCCATGGGGAAAATAACTATGTCTGGAAATGACAGAGAAAAAATACATCTCTCTGCTTGAGTTTTGATCAGTGTTGTGCCAATCCTTCCATTTAGACAAATCCTTTAGTGCATTGAGCAGTTGCCTATCTGCCCGACGGGTCCTTTTGTGTTGGGTTTCAAAGAATTGTGCGGTGCCAGCCCTTCCTCCTTGTTAATTATTCTTCCTAGAACATTCCACATAGCGGAAAAATTCATTATTTCTTATGTTAATGGAGGTGTGGTGCAATACCAATGCCTGCTGCATCTTTGAAAGCACAGGAGACAAGCTTCAATCTGCCTTTTTAAGGCCCAATTGTAAGCTTTTCTCATGACAAGGCAGGCATTTCACTGCCACGGGACAGTCTTTGGGTGGGAGTTTTCGCTGTGAGAGCGGCCCCAGAGGAGGAGGAGGAGGCTGCCAGCAGGGCCCAGAGCGGAGCCCGCGCTGCCCCACGCGGGTGAAGTGCACCCTGACGGAAAGATGTCTTTGGGGCAGAACCAGCTTGCGGGTCTCATTGTCTCATCTCTCTCATTGAAGTTGCAGGGGAAGGTAAGGCACGTGTGTGGTTGTCCACGTGTGCAGCTGAATTTTTAGCATTACAAGTGTCAGATGCACAGAACTAACACGGGGGGAGGGTTTAAGTTTATTAGGACTTTAATATCAGAAACTAAATTTTGGTTCCTTGGTCTGGAAAAGTCTGTAACAGAGTTTTAAGAATTCAATAGGTGGCTACATTTCAGTACAAGTAAATAAAATTCTCAGAAGTAATTTAGTAGAGTTGAGTAAATTCCTGGTACCTTTTACATTTTAATGACAAACAAGCTATGTCCACAGTATAACTTTAATAAGAAGGCATCTTAAATGCAACATTCCCCATGTGATAAATTGGTAGAATTATTTGGGTGCTTTTCACAATTGGCCTTGATTTAAAGGTCGGGATTTTCAGACTCTTATTTTTTCTTTTACTTGAAAATATGATGAACAGCATTGAGGAATAAGAACATAAGATCAATCATAAAAATGTAAATTTAGTCTCTACTAAGCCCTAAGTGAATATCTTCATTGGTAGTAAATCTCCTTCACATACAGCTGGAGTATTTTGGATTGTATAATCAAGGATGGATGCCTTTTCATTTCATTTACCTGCATAAAAGCAAAAGCTGAAAGTAAAACAAATGCAAACTGCAACTTTATAGGAATGTTTTGAAGCTTCTAATTCTCAGAGATTTTTTTCTTTATTATATACTGAATTTAAAATCAGAGAAACAAAACACTAGGTTAGAATTTTTGTCACTTCTTAGAAAAATATTTCCTTACTGAATGAGAAACTACTTGCAGTATTGGAATGCAGTCTCCAAGTTGAAATTATACCTCATTAACTACTCTATCAGTTCTACTCCTGCAAGCAAGAGACTCTTAAGAGTTCAATTTAATGCCATAAAAATTTGCTTCTTGCCTAATTTTTGCAAGGAAATATCAAACATTCTCTGTGCTTTAAATGAGCATCCTCATATGAGAATCATTAAAGATGATCTTTGGACTGATCTTTCTCTGGATTCGTGGTGGCATAGTTTTAGGTTTCAAATCTGAAGAAGATTATTTAAATCCCTTTTTGCTTATACGCAAAATACAGGAATTTTTCACATTGAGCAAAAGGGATCATAATGTATGATATGGTTCTTCAGTATCCCCCATGGTCTGTACCACATCACTGGAAATCATTGATCCAAATCATGTCTGAATTAATTTGTACAATTATTTTCACATTATATATTTTTATAACATTACTTTTCTCTTGTAACAAAGTACTTTGCAAATCAAAACCGGGACACAAGAAAGTCAGTTTGTTGACCTTGGGAGGGTCAATATATTCATCTCTTGTTTGGTGAAGAAACAGCCATTCAATAAACTGTGATCAGGGAAAAATGATGTAGAACAACTACCAGTGAAGGTCTGCAGTGAAAAGGTGATTCTTCAGAAAGCACACAGAAATCATCCATGTTTGAATTCAGTGAAGAAATAATTACATAAAATTTATTTTATTGCAAATAATAATATATTAATGATTTATTTCTTACAAATAATTTATTTTCTGTCTTTTCACAAACAATGATATGCAAAATGTGTGAATTTGAAAATGTGTAAGCCAGTCCTGCAAAGTTGGACAACTTATTTGTAATCCAGTGGAAAAAAATACAAGTAGAACCTCTGGTCATATTTCTTACATAAGATGTGATTTGTCTAGAGTGCAAATTATAACTAAAACAAAAAATCCCCTAAGCTTCCTAAAAGGAAGGGCAGGGAATACTTTTCATATTCCACTGATATTTTATGGATATATTTACCTTGGGAAAAAAATACTTCAAAAATTAAGAGTTAGAAACCGATTATGTGCAATTCATTGAGTGAATTGTATTATTTTAAGACATTTCAAAGCATTTTGAGAACAATACATTTTTAAAAATCTATAATGGAGTTGCATTTTGAAAGTGGGCTAGTGCATAATCTTTTTAACTCTCGAGTATATTGTATGATTCCAGTACTAAAAATCTTTGAGGAAAAAGAAAGCTAAACAAGTTAGTTG